AAACCCATTATGTTGCCTGCTGAATTATCAACCAGGATTCATGCCTCCTGCTCTTGATTGAGTGTTCATTAAAGACACGTGCCAGTTTTATGTAGTGTTGGGAGATAGAACCCAGGGCCTCAACGCATGCAAACCAAGCACTCTGTCAACTGAACTACACCCTCAGCCCCATGCTCACCTTCTTTCAGCTTCTTATTTATTTTTTACTTTTTATGCAGATGAATAATGTTTTACCTGCATGTATGTAAGTACACCCATGTTGTACAATGCCCACAGAGGCCTGACGATCCCCTGGAACTGGAGTTACAGATGTTTGTTATCTGGGACGTGGGTGCTGGGAAATGAATCCCTGTTCTCTGGAAGAGCAGTTAGTGTTTTAACTGCTGAACCATCTCTCCTGCTTTTTTGGGAAAGGTTTCCTTTATAGCCCAAGCAGGCCTAACTGTCTATGTAGACCAGGCTGGCCTCAGTCTCACAGAGATCTGCCTGCCTTTGCCTCCTGAGTGCTGGGATTAAATGCATGTACCACCAAGCCCAGCTCTCTTTGAGCTTTTTTCTTTTTTTTCTTTTTTTGGTCTTTTTGAGGCAGGGTCTCCCTGTAGTCCCAGCTGGCCTAGAACTCACTATGTAGACCAGGCTGGCGTTGAACTCACAGAGATCTGCCTACCTCTGCCTCCCAAGTGCTGGGATTAAAGGGATACGCCACCATGCCCGGCTTCTCTTTGAGCTTTTTAAAACAGCAATGTTGGGACTTGCAGTTTGCTCACAAATTGTTAATTCCCCGGGCCTTCTTCCTGTATTTTCTTCCCGCTGACTGACCTGAAGGACTTTGTGGCCTCTGACTATGCTTATCTGCTCCAACAGTTCTAGTACGTTCTTTCCAGACACAGCATACCCCACTCTTTGTCAGTACTAATCACACAATATTACATTTATCTTTTTTGCATCTATTTGGATTTGCTCCACCAAATTATAAGCTCATTTTAACATACCCCTCCTCCACTCACATGGCCCAAGTCTCCGACAGCTTCAGAGACATTCTCAACCTTATTCAAATTGCTTTCCTAGGTAAAGAATGCAGTAAGCCTACCTTCTAGCTACCAGCCCCCTTCCAGTGGGTTTTTCACCCTAGACACAAAGGGACTGGGATGGGGGCAGGGGGTGAGCCCTTCTAGGTCCTTTGCAAAGAATCCTTCAGCCAAGAACTAAGCCTCTCAGACCTACCTTTAGGAGAGCTGTGGGTAAATTCAAGGATTCGGTGGCCTTGACCGCAGTGTACCACTCGGGTCACTCAGTGCTGGGAGGTCAAACATTTCCCCTTTTCTAGGACTCACATTCAGTTTCTAATTGAAGTGAAGATCCACTTTAAGCCTGATACATGCAGTTATGTGCTCGACTCCTCCCTGACCCTCTGGTTCTTCCCCTCCTGGAGGATGTTCTAAGAAGACAAAAGATTACCAAAGTTCTGTCTCATTTGGAACACACCCACTCTCACCTGTTGGCATCTTTGTTTGCATTAGAAACAGAAGTCTGCTTTTTTGTGGGAGCCAAACCTACAGCCCTAGGTGAAGGGTCCAGTAGCCAGCCCAGTGCTGAAGAGGCTGCTGGGCTATACAGCTAGACCTTAACCAAAAAAAGAAAAAGAAATAAAAAGAATTTTTTTTTTTTAAAGTAGCCAGGCATGGTGGCGCATGCTTTAATCCCAGCACTTGAGAGGCAGAGGCAGGCGCATCTCTGTGAGTTCAAGGCCAGCCTGGTCTATATAGTGAGTTCCAGGTTGTCTGAGGATACAGGGGGACCGGGCCCCAAAAAGACCAAAAAAAAAAAAAAAAAAAGAAAAAAAGTTAAGCACTACAAATCTTCATAACTGGGATTTATTAAGAGTTTGCTTTTATGCTGGGTGTGGTGCTGCACACCTTTGATCCCAGCACTCAGGAGGCAGAGGCAGGCAGATCTCACAGATCAAGGCCAGCCTGGTCTCCAAAGTGAGTTCCAGGCCAGCTGGGCCTATGTGAAGAGCCTGTTTCAAAAAGACCAAAAATAAAAAGAGTTTGCTTTCTGGTGGGAGATGGGGAAAGAGGGGGCGATTTAGATTTAGGAATGGGAGGAGAATGGAATGGAAAGCTATTATAAATTGTTTTACTTGTTCTTAAACACGTTAGTGCTGGAACCCAATACTTTGGGCTTGTTTTATTCGTTTATTGAATCAGGATCTCGCTTTGTAGTCCAGGATGGCCTGAAACTCACTATGATAGCCCAGGTTGGCCTCCAGCTCCTGGTGATCCTCTTACTTCATCCAGCTGAATTCTGGGATTCTATAGGCATGAGCTATCAAATAAAAAGATTCTTTCTTCTCTTTCTTTTTCAGGGCTTTTTTTTTTTTGGTTGATTGATTTGAAACAGTCTCATGTTCTCACGTAGCCGTGGCTGACCTCAAACTTGCTATGTGTCCAAAGATGTCCTTGAACTCCATATCTTCTTGCCTTTACCCATTAAGTGCTGGGATTACTAGTTTGCACCATACTTAAGGCCCACCTATGTATCATTTTAATTAATTCAGTTTTTGATTGTTTTTGTAACAGTTTCATATAGCCCAGGAGAGCCTGGAACCTATGGAGTGGGGTATGACCTTGAACTCTGATCCTGCCACCTCCTGAGAGTGGCTGGAGTTTCATTCATCCTAGGCAACGAGTCTGCCAGATGAACTACATTTCTAGACGTTTATGTATTTATGGGTTTTTTTTTTTTTTTTGGACAGTCTTGGAATTCTACCCACTATGTAGAGTAGATCAGGCTGGCCTGGCGCTCCCAGAGATCCATCTGCCTCTCCATAATAAGACCCTGTCTCAAAAAACCCCACAAAGTTAGGGTCTGGAGAGATGGTTCAGCAGTTAAGAGCATTGGCTGCTGTTGCAGAGGACTTGGGTTCAATTCCCAGCACCCACATTGTGGCTAACAACTGTCCATAACTCCAGTTGCAGGGGATCCAATGCCCTCCTCTAACTTCCACAGGCATTGCATAACACAGGTGCACTTACATACATACAGGCAATACATTCATACACATAAAATAAAAATAATGAATAAAATATTAAAAAAACAATATCACTTAAAGTGTAAATTTCTGGAAACTAATTCTAAAAATGTTGTTTCTTTTTGGTTTTTTTTTCTTCACCTTAAAAATTGGTGGAGGAGAGGAAGGAGGATGGTGTTGAAAGCGGAAAAGCTAGAGCTACAGAAGAGGCTGCAGGGTGCCCTGCTCTACCTCACACCTTCCAGCTGTGCTGGTACAGAGAACAGATTACTTTACATCTAGTAATGTCCCCATGATTGTGTGGTTCACCAGATTTTTCATAAATTCCCCCAAAATCAATTCAACCTTGGTGGTATGGAACACAAAATCCTGATAGAATTTCAAATTCTATTCACTATTTACGGACCATTTTGGCTTAAGTATTACAAAATTTAGCTCCTTACCTTGTTTAATTCCTATAGCACGGAGCAGGTACTGTCTCTATAAACAGAGTTAACTTAGTAGCTGGGCCAAGATTCTATCTACTAACCTCTATATAAAAATGGATTTATTGCCGCCGAGCATGGTGGTGAACACCTTTAGTCCCAGCACCAGAGAGGCGGAGGCAGATCTCTGTGAGCTCAAGACCAGCCATGGTACATAGTGAGACCCTGTCTCAAAACCAAAAAACGAAACACTGATTTATTGAAGAACAGCATGGTGCTGGTCTGCAATCCTAGCACACGGAAGTGGAAGGAGAAAGATCAGGAGAGAAAGGCCAGCCTCAGCTACATAATGAATTTGAGGCCAGTCTGCTGTTCGTGAGAACTTATAACAAAGAAACAGGCCAGCAAACCCCAAAATAAATAAATATTTTATTTCAGTGCTTGGAGGCTGAGGCAGGAAGACCAGAATGCATCTGAGACCATCCTAGGCTACCTAGTGAATTCAAGGACAGCCTGAACTACAGTGAGACCTTGTCACAAATACAAACAAACCAGAGCCTCCCCAAATCAAGACCTTATCATGCTGAAGATAGAGGCTTAATTAGCTTACTTATAAAGAGTGCCAAGAGTCCTAGGTCAGCAGTCACAGGTCTGTTCTTGTGGCTTTTACACTCATACACATAAAATTTAAAAATTAAATAAATAAAATTTAAAAACCCAACAGTTCTGGCAAAAAGTCTTTCCTCTGCTTTCAAAAACTAAACAAGAACTAAGGTGGGCGCTGGAAAGGAGCACCGAATTTAATGTCAACCTTGACTTTGGCCACACAATAGTTCCCAGTACTCCATTCTGACTGTAGGCTGAAAGACCTTTGCCGGGTTGGAGAGGCATCCGTGGTGGAGCAGAGTAAACGTACCAGGAAGAAGTCAACGGCAATGGTGGGGTTTATTTTGTCTCTGGAGTCAGTAGCCCCAGTTTTGGGGTTCCTCTCCTAGTCTGGGCTACTCTATAACTTCTTTTGCATTATAATGTCCTTGGTGAGCCTGGCAGACGGGATAAACAATGAATTCACAAGGATGGGGGGCGTGGGTGCCGGGGGGTGGGGG